CCAGCCAGGTCAGGCATCAGGTGCGCGGGGGGCTGGCAGGGGGCTCTTGGATTTCGGACAGCGCCATCCGCTCCGCGCCCTGGCAGCTGCGGGCGCGGCGCGGAAGGCGGCGGCGGTGGCGCTGGTGGCGGCGGCGGCTGCGGGGCTACCCGGCGACAGCGGAGGCCCGGCCGAGCGGACCTGAGCCCCGGTCCCCGCGCGCCTGCTCGCCTGCCTCGCGCCAGCCGCGCATGCAGCCCCAGCCCGCGGAGACATGAGCGCCCCGCGGCCCGACGCACCCGAGGCGCAGCGGCCCGGCCCCGCGGCCCCGTGATGGGCTCCTGCGTGTCGCGAGGTGAGGGGGCCGCGGGCCGGGGCGCTGGGAGGGAACCAAGGGCTGGGGGCGGCGACCCGTGCTTCCCGGAGCAGCCGCACCCCCAGGGCCACGGTGCCCTGAGCACACGGGGCAGCGCGGAGAGCGCGTGCGAGGGCACCGCGTTGTGGCCGCCCCAGCAGCCACGCAGCCCCTGCCGTGTGCCTGGGAGGGAGGGAGCCCCTGAGTCTTCCTGGCTTCTCTGGAGGGGCCGCGGGGGCGTCCTCCGCCCCAGACCCCCAAGGCACAGGCTTCACCCCCACCCCCAACCCGACTCCAGCCCCTGAACCCACTTGGCAGGAAGGGCTCTGGTGGGGAACAGGTTATGAAGAAGGCCCCTCCCCCACCTCGTCCCCACCCTCTCCTTGGTCAGGGGACAGGAAGGGACAGAGGACACCTGATGTTCCCAGTAACCCTGGGCCTTCCTCTGCTTCTCACCGGACCCTCCACCCTCAGTCACCAGAGCGGGGAGCGAGCTGCCCTTGCCTGCCTCTCTTGTCTGGGACTGGGGGGTGGGTGCAGGGTTGCACCTGCTGCCCGGCAGGCTGCCGAGTGCATCTCAGGAAAGGTGTTGGCTTGGGGCCCTCCTCCCCTGGGAGTCCCCTCCCCACACGGGGGGGTGGAGGGGGCAGGGCTGGGAGAGCCGGGCACTTTGGCCTTGGCTCTGGCTCTGCAGATTGAGTCCACACCCGCTGAGCCCACCCACAGGGTCTTGGGGACCGGCTACCGCGTCCATCACTCCCCAGATCTTGCTCGGGTGTACGGGAGGTTCCCTGGGAGGGATGTGGAGGAAGGAGTATGACACCCTTTCCCCGTCCTCTGGACTCTGAGGGTAGCTCTCGGGCACTCAGGGGAGTGGGCCGGAGGGATCAGGGTGGGGAGGGGAAGGAGGAGGCTGGGCCCTGGGAGGTTCATTCGCTGACCCCTGATTCAGCTGACAGTAATGACACCTACTGCGTGCCGGCACCGTGGACCCAGCGTAGCACCTGATCTGTGACAGCCACTGCCCAGCAAGGGGAAGCAGTCTTCAGAGGAGTTAAGGGTCCCTGTGGACAGCTGTCGGTGCCCGAGGGGCTCCGGAAACCTCCAGGGCTCTGGCAGTCTCTGGGTGGGGCCAGCTCCAGGTGTTAGGGGTCCGGGTGGGGCCAGCTTCAGTGTTAGGGGTCCGGGTGGGGCCAGCTCTAGGTGTTTGGGGTCTGGTGATTCCTCAGAGACTGTGTCCCTTCCGCATGCCTTGGCCATCTTGTGCCAGGCGCCGTAGGGCCCCAGCCCCAGATGGACTGGCCTGTGAGCTGAGGGCTCACTGAGCACAGGACAGAGAGGGAGCGGGCAAGACGCCCGCCAAGGTCATGCTGTGGGTCTGGGCCCTGGGAAACCCTTGCCTGGTGCTCCCTCCATGGCACCCTCTGTCAGGGCCATTTGCGGTCACCCTGGCAGGTCTGTGCCGGCTCCACCCATCCTTTGGAAGCCTGGGCTCCCCACGTGCACCTGCAGTTCTGTCCACCTCCTGAGGTTCAGCATGCAAGAGGAGCTTTGAGGGCAGAGGACTGCCGTTGTCCCCAGAACTCTGGGTGGCTGAGCCACTGAGCGGAAGCCACTTGCCCCTCTACTTGTCACTCATCCTCTCTCTGAGTGCTTCCACCTTACCAGGTACTGGTCTGAAAGTAGTGGAGCAAAAAGCTGATTTGGGTTATTTGCTACCATAGTCCCTGTTTGTATCCGAAGCAGGGGACAGCTGAGTGATGTGCCCTGGGCCACACAGCTAGGACTTAGCAAAGCTAGGATTTGAGCCCTGACATGCAGACGTCCTTAGTGTCTATACCTCACCGCCCTGCCCCTGTCCTCCTCCTCTGGAGCTGCAGGCTTCCGCGCGTTCCTGAGACCCCCACCTGGTCTCCTCGCCAGCACCAAGTGCTTCCCAGGGCCAGGCACGCAGTCTGAAGCCCAAGCCAGGGCCATGAGCCCCATTCTGCATGAGGCTGATGCCGTGCCACACCCCAGGCCACCCCATCCCAGCAGGGGGCTTCTGCTTGCTTGAATCCCTGCCACAACCACTCACTAGTTCCTTGATCTTGTAGCTGTATCTTGGCGTTCTCATCTCTAAAATGGGAATCCTAACAGTACTGACGTCATGGGGGTGCTGGGGGGATGAAATGGCTTAGTACCTGCGCAGCACTCAGACTGGAACCTGTCACGTTGCGAGCGCTCAGAGGCTTAGCTGGTGCCCTTGGTGTCGCTCTATGCAGGTGGCTAGTCCAGACCTTGGCTGGACAAGGGGAAGCTGCAGAGGCCCTGGGCGCCAGCTTGCCTCCTGGGAAAAGGCACTTGAGGCCCCGGGGACAGCGGGGAGGTGATTGGGGCCGGATGAAGGCGACTCGCGCTGTTTCCAGGAGCTGTTTTGTGTTCGTCGTCTATTTTTAAGCCACCATTTGTTGGGCGCTTCTGCTGGGCCAGCCTGAGCCTTGGCTCTCCTGACCCAGATAGCTCTCATTCAACCCTGTGGGGCAGAAGTGGGGCTCAGAGATGGGGGTCTGTGTGACCCCAGCGCTGCTGGGGACCCCTGCCCTCACCTGGCATTGCTCAAGGCAGCACCCTTGGGGGGATCATTCGGATGGCTCCTGTCTGCCTGGGGCTGACCGCCTCCACCAGTGTCCACCTGCAGGGAGGAGAGAAGGGGTTCACAGCTGCTCCTCCTGCCCCAGGCCTCCCTGCCAGACCGACCCTGGGGGTCTCCAGTGGAGACTGAGGACTTTCTGCTGGAAACTTGGAGGTCTCCTGATGTCAAGGAGGCGGCTCCAGCTCTCAGCCCCGCAGTACCCAGGGGCCGTCTTGCCATGGCCCTCGGGTTGCCAGGGCGCAGGCTTAGACTGAGCACTCTGGGGAGACGGAGAAAAGGACAGATGGGACCTCGCCTTTTCGGGGCTCACGGTCTGATGAGAGAGACAGTTTTGCCCTTGGAGGAATCTAGCGGACGAGCAGGACACACGCTTGGACAGTTGCCTGAGGCCCCTCTCCAGAGGTTGGCACAAGGTGCCAGCAAAGGTTCGGGTTTCACACTGCCTGAAGGCTGCACCCGTCCCTGCCGCTGATGACCTTGTGTGGTGGTTGAGCCTCTCCCAGCCTCAGTTTCCCCCTTGGTGAAGTGGGCATCATGCTTCCTACCTTGAAGGGGGGTGGGTGTGAGAGGTCAATGAGAGATGGTGAGTGGAAGGCCCAGGGCACCCTCTGACGCTAAGTAGGTGGCCTTGGCACATTAGAACCGCTGATGAGGGCGCCCCTCGCACAGGGGAGGCCCATCTGGGCAGGCTGCTTGGAGCAGGTGGGGCTAAAGCAGGGTGTTCAAAGAGGCTGCACCCCAGGGTGGCAGAGACAAGTGGAAAGGAGCTGGGCTGTGTGGAGTCCTGGAGAGGCACCTGCTTTCCCTGCAGCCTGGGTGGAGATGGAAAGAGACCACCTTGGACGGCTCTGAGCAGCAATGACCCACGGGTGAAGCGCCTGCTGTGTCCAAGTGACCCGAAAACAAGTGTCCTGGGCGTGGTGGACATTGCCTCTGCCACGCTCTCTTGTGGCAATGACTCACCAGGCAGAGAGGCCAAGGACTCACCCTCTGTGGAGTCCCCAGGGCAAGCACCGACCTAGGGACAGGAGCAGAGGGGCAGCTGCCTGTGGTCCACCCTGCTGCCCAGAACGAGGACCTGAGGGGAGAGAGATGGGCCTCCCGCCAGCCTCGCAGGGCGTGTCCTTGTGTTCTCACTTTACAGACGAGAACCTGAGGCTCACGGGGTCACGTCGCGTGCCTGCAGCCCTGGAGCTGGCCGTGGAGAGTCGAGGTTTCCACTCATGGCACGGACCGCGAGAGGAAGCCTTGACTACTTGGTCGTGTTCAGAGCCGAGGACACCGACTGGCACGTCACCCCAGGCAGCGCACACCCCGGGCCCTGGTGGCCAGAGGGATCCTGGCGTGCATTCGGCCGCAGGTGCTCTGAGATGCTTTGAGAAGCACATGGCTGACTGGGGAGGAGCAGCACAGGGTGGCAGCCAGGTTCTTGCTCCGTTACTGTGTGATTTCCAGAGATTGACTTTCTCTGGTTTGCTGGGAGAGAGAAGGGTTAAACTTGGACCTTCCCTGCCCTCCTGGGGCCTGGAGCTCTGGGAGACCCCCTAGGGGGAGATGGTACCATGGTGACAGATGGGCTGGGACTCCAAGGAGCAGCCGAGGGACCCAGAAGACTCTGAAGCAATTGAGAGGAGCCTGAGCAAGCAGAGAAGGCCTGCAGCAAGAGGGGATTAGGTTAGACATCAGGAGGGACTGTCTGGGTGGCTGTCCACTAGGGCAGCTAGTGGAGCTGGTGTGGGCAGGCAGGTTTGTCCTTGATTAGCAGAGCAGGTGTTTGGGTGATGGCAGAGGATGTAGGACTTTTGGATAACACCCCTCTCCTTGCAGGATCAAAATAGCCCCCTGTGTTGCCATGGCAACCACGGGCCGGGGGAAGTGGGGAGGGGGCAGGTCTGAGAAGGGGCTGCTGACCCTGAGGTCACTGGAGGGAGTTGTGGATCGGGGAAGAAAGGGGGCACACCCCCATCTCCCTTGGGAGAGGGCAGCAGTCTCAAGAGCGGGAGCTCACAGTCCCCTCGGGCCGCCCCACCCCACCCCTACCCCCACCCCCCCGGAAACTGTGTTTTTCCAGTTGCCGGCGGTGACGTGGCCGGGTCCCAGCTGGGCTAAGAGCAGCCTGTGATTTCATCCTGGGCCGCTTCATTATCTGACATCTCCATGGCAACCTGTCTGTGACATCACGGGACCAAAGTCCTCGGAGGGGAGAAGGCAGCTTGGTCAGGTGAGGTGAGGGGCAGGCAGGCTTGGGGACCGAGAGCCGGGAGTCCCCCGAGCCTGCCACCACCTCAGAGAATGACCTTGTTGGAGTCACGTCTCCTTCCAGCCTGCCCCGTGCTCCCCTCTCCAGCAGAGCCAGCCTCATGCAGGGCCTGCGGCCGAGGACTTTCACAACAGCTTCAGGGGCCACCAGCGCCCTAGGAGTGTGCCAGCTTCTCTCAGCCCTCCCAGGGGGAGCCTGCAGCCTGCAAGGTGGCGAGGAACACCTTGTGCCTGACCTGCAGAATTTCTGGAATGTTAAGTGTGGTGGCTTTAAACGTGTTTGAACTCACAGGAATAAATGTACTTTGCATTGTGACCCAAGATGCACACACAGAAAATTCTCACCATCCATGTGTGTGCATGCATACAAGTGTGTCCATGCCATTTAGACAGAAGTTCAGGAAACAGTACTTAGTCCAGCACTGCCGCCCTCAGCTCTGAGAGCCTCCATTCCACTCTATTCCTTCCTTCCTTTGTTTTTAAAGATTTATTTATTTGTTTGAAACACAGGGTTACAGAGGAAGAGAGAGAGAGAGAGATCTTCCATCTGCTGGTTCACTCCCTAAATGGCTGCAATTTGGCCAGAGCTGAGCTGATCCAGGAGCTTCCTCCAGGTCTCCCATGTAGGTGCAGGGGTCCAAGTTCTTGGACCATCCTCTACTGCTTTCCCAGGCCATCAGCAAGGAGTTGAATTGGAAATGGAGCAGCCGGGACTTGAACCGGCACCCACATGGGATGCTGGTGCTACAGGCAGCGGCTTTACCTGCTGTACCACTGCGCTGGCTCCTCCACTCTGTTTCATTTCATTTCTTCTTTTTTTTTTTTTTAACATTTATTTACTTATTTGAAAGGCCAATTTACAGAGAGAGAGGGAGAGGCAGAGGCAGAGAAAGAAAAGTCTTCCATTCACTGTTCATTCCCAAAATGGCTGCAACAGCCTGGGCTGGGCCAGGCTGAAGCCAGGAGCCAGGAGCTTCATCAGGATCTCCCACATAGGTGCAGGGGCCCAAGGACTTGGGCCATCTTCTTCTGCTTTCCCAGACCATTAGCAGGGGGCTGGATCAGAAATGGAGCAGCTGGGACTCGAATCGGTGCCCATATGGGATGCCGGTGTCACAGGTGGTGGCTTTACCTGCTGTGCCACAGTGCCAGCCCCTCTGTTCCATTTATTAAAATGATGACCTAGTACAAGGCTTACATGTCCCACGGAACAAGGCGCCCCCGACTTTCACACTGCCTTTGTGAGGACAGAGACCCTGAAGCCCAGAGAGGGACAAGGTCAGCTCAGGGTCACAGAGCTGAGACTGCGGATAAGGAGCAAGATATGTTGCACTCTGAGCAGGGCTTGGCTGAACCCTCTTGATCCGTGCCACTCCACACCATCCTCACGGCTCTGACCTCCTTACATCTGGCTCGTTGGAGGAGGGGCAGTTACGACCCTGCCTTCCTTTTCTACAGTCCCTGCCTCGCATGGGCTCACCCCTACCTTCCTGGCTTGTCCACCTGTCCACAGTCTTTGGGCTGATCCTGGAGCTCTCTGCTGCACACCATGTCCGGTCCAGTTGGGCTGAAAGTTGTCCTCTGGCCTCCAGCCCAGTAAGCACCTGCTTGCTTGCAGCCTGAGGACTGCGTCTGCTCCTTATTCTGCTGGCCTCTTCCCCTCTTGGGGCCCCTCTCTCTTCTCATGAATGGGTGTGGCACGGGGAATTTGGGAAAAGGGGCCGGGACGTGTGGATGTCTGGAGCTCTCGTGGCCCTTTCTTGGCTAACAAGGGCTCATTGTTGAGGCCTCGGTGTGGCCAGCATCCAAACGTTCACGCCTTCCTTCTCGCAGCGGGTATTCAGTGACACCCTGTGGCAGGTGCAGGGGCTGCCCCAGAGAATAAAGCAGGCCAGATCCCAGCTCTTCCAGAGCTCTGTGCTGGTGAGAGGCACCGAGTGTCGTGTGTGAAGGGTGGAGACCGGCAGGTGTCATAACCGATAAGCTAGGGGGAAGCCATGCTGAGGTTGCAGCATTTGAGGAGAGACCAAAGTGGAGGGAGGGGGAGACCCTGTGGTGTCTGGGAGGAGAGGGTTCCAGAGGGCGGGAAGGGGTAGACAGTGCAAAGGCCCTGGGGTGGGGAATGTGCTGGGTGTGTCTGAGGAGCACCCCGAAAGTGATCTGCGTGGCCAGGGTGCAGAGGGCGAGTGTGGTGGAAGATGAAGTGGGGCCATCTTCTGGGTTAGTGTGGTGAGTTCTCCAGGAGCCATGGGAGGGGGCCCTTCCCATTCTAGAGCCTCTGTCTTCAGAGATTTGCTCTGGTTTCACCTCCCTTTCCTCGCCCACTGCCCTGTTCTCTTGAAACGATCCACCCTCCAGCCTCTTGGGACTTGGCCCTGCAGGCAGCCTCCTGGGGGCTGGGGTGGGCACCAATGAGACTGAAACATGGTACCTTCCTCAGCACTTGGCCCCTTGAAAAACTCACGGTCTTGGCCACAGCAGAGGTGGGAGAGCCGGCTGTCCTCCTGCTTGCCCACCCCTGCCTGCTGGTCTCTGTGGTCTGCTGGTTATGCAGACATCCAACTGGGGCCTGGCATCCCCAGTTGCTGCCAGTGACCCTCTGGGCACACGGGAGAGGTGGGTAGGGTGAGTCAGAGAGTGGCGCAGGGTTGGGACACAGAGCTCATTCAGCACCTTGGACAGGGCCTGGGCCTAACCACTTCCTGTTACAGAATAAGAAGTCCCTCGGGGGTCCATTTGACAGATGGTGATGTGGAGTCTGGAGGAGGTGAAGTCACCCCCCCCACCACGTAGTAAAGAGCAGCGTTGGGATGAGACCCTGGGCAGGGTGGCTTGGCAGCAGCTCCTCCGGAAGACAGGGCTGCCCTGACAGGTAGAGGGCGTCTTCCAGAGATGCAACCCAGCAGGGCGCCGTCCAGGCTAGGGTCTCAGCCGACCCCACAATGTGAGCAAAGCTGAATTTTCTGGACCCAGACAAAAGAGCCAGGGTCCTGCATTGGGCGGCCATTGGCTAAGGGCTTTGCTGTGGGTGGAGCCACCACGTGGTTCACATATGGTCACATGCCAGGTATCCATCATGGAGCTGACAAATGACTGTTTCCAGTGACAACATCACTGTCACGACATTGGAGCTGTCAGGTTGTCATCCTACTCCCGTGTGTGGCGATGCAGGTGTGAACACACCTACCGGCTGCCCGGTGTGCTACAGCATAGCAGGCACAGTTAGGCACTTGCTACCTGATTGTGGCAACACTGACTGTGTTGCTGGTTTATACATTACTCTATGTCAATCATTATTTTAGAGTGTACTTCTAATTATAAAAGTTCACTATAAAACGGCATCAGGCACAACACCACAATGCCAATCCTGCAAAGTATATTTTAAAGTGAATGTTACTTAAAAAGTCAAAAGTTTTTTTTTTTTAATTAAAAGTTTATAAAGCAAAAAGGTTACCATAAGCTAAGGTTAATTTATCATTGAAGAAAAAAAAAAAACTGGTAAATTTGGAAGTCAAAATGACGAAGAGGGAGAGACAGAGAGATCTTCCATCCTCTGGTTTATGAACCAAGTGGCCACAGAGGCCAGGCCTGCACCAGGCCAAATCCAGGAGACAGGAATTCCATCCGGGTCTCCCACTGGGTAGCAGCAGCCTAAGCCCTTGGCTGTCCCCGCTGCCTCCTGGGGTGTGCATTAGAAGAAGCTGGATGGGAAGCAGAGGTGGGACTAGACCCCAGGCGCTCTGATATGGGATGTGGGTGTCCCACGTGGCAGCTCGGCATGCCAAAGCCCACGCTAACCTGAATGACAATTTTTCTTTTCCCGAAATAAAATGTTTTTTTGACAGGCAGAGTGGACAGTGAGAGAGAGAGACAGAGAGAAAGGTCTTCCTTTTGCTGTTGGTTCACCCTCCAATGGCCGCTGCGGCTGGCGCACCACGCTGATCCAATGGCAGGAGCCAGGTGCTTCTCCTGGTCTCCCATGGGGTGCAGGGCCCAAGCACTTGGGCCATCCTCCACTGCACTCCCTGGCCACAGCAGAGAGCTGGCCTGGAAGAGGGGCAACTGGGACAGAATCCGGCGCCCTGACCGGGACTAGAACCCGGTGTGCCAGCGCCGCAAGGCGGAGGACTTGCCTATTGAGCCGCAGCGCCGGCCTCCCGAAATAAAATTTTAAAAGGTAACTTTAGTGTGGCCTCTGTGTGCAGTGTTTGGAGTGTACAGGGGTGGACAGTAGCATCCTAGGCCTCCGTCCTCCCTCACTGCCCGCCCCCTCCCTCACCTGGGGCAGCTTCCAGTCCTGCCAACTCACTCTCTGTGGGTATTCTTACACATGGGCCTCTTGTGTTTAAAAAAAATTTTTGTCTCTTATTGAGTTTTTTTTTTTTTTTAAAAAAGGGTGTTATTTATTTGAAAGGCAGAATGAGACAGAGAGGGTAAGATGGAGCTTTTTTATCTGCTGGTTCACTCTCCAAAGGGTGGCGACAGCGGGGACTGGGCCAGACTGAAACCAGGGGTCCAGCCCACGTGGGCGGCAGGAAGTCACGTTGTTGAGCCATCATCTGCTGCTTCCCTGGCTCATTAGCAAGCAGCTGGCTAGGAAGCAGATGCGCTGGGACTTGAACCACATGGGTTGCTGGCGCCCTAAGGAGCAGCTTAACCTGCTGTGCCAAGCCCCACCCCAACATGGACCATTTTTAAATCTGTTTTATGTCACTTTGTAACTGCACCTGTCTCCATATGTAACTGTCTCCACACGCACAGCTACGCGAGTACTTACCTTTGTGCTATAGCTGCCTGCTGTTTGCGTTCCTCGCCTGGGAGCAGTAGGCTGCTCCACCTGTCCCAGGTGCATGGACGGCCCTACCAGCTAGGTGTGTGTCTGTGCACCCGCGGTGGGCGCACGATGATGAAATCCCGAATGATGCCCCTCTCAGGGGCTGCCGTGAGGAAGGAGGTGGATCAGCTGGCACAGAGGACGGAGAGGGAGCCCTTCGGGCCTGCTGTTGGCCTTGAGGGAGGCAGAACGGTAAGGAAACTCGCAGGTTTTTAGTTGGTGCAGCTGGGGAATGGACTGCCTCATTTTCTAAAGCTGGGGAAGGGAGAAGGCTCGTGGGAGCCAGCGTTTGTCACCGTCACAAAGTCGCAGAGGCAGTCTCATTCTACCGGGAAGCGAGGTTTATTTTGGCTGCCGGTTCTAGAGGTTCACAGTCCGAGATCGGGCACCTTGGTCCGTTCTCCAGGGCTGGCGTTCTTGCTGGCCCAGGGCATCACGTAGCAGGAGGCAGGGCTCCCCGTGTGCATCCGCCCAGATCCAGTACAGGGTCCCACCCCCAGTGTCGTCCAAGTTGCTTCCCCACGGCCTTGCCCCTAAACACTCCCACTGGATTGAGTTTCCAAACTCTTAATGCCAGTAAGTTAGACTGTGGGGACCAAACTCTCAAGGTTAGGAGGCAAATGTCCAAACCGCAGCAAAGATGGGTGCGGGGTCGCTGCTTGCTTTTGTCCCAGTTCTGTATGACGTCCCTTTCTGGCGTCCAGAGAGTGGGAAATTGCGTTGAGCCATCAGCTCAAGGGGGGACTCAGGCCTGGGGGTGTGGATGTAGGCATCAGCGAGGCAGGGATGCCATCTTTGGGGATGGAGAGGGAGGAAAAGGGTCTGCAGGGGGTGTGGGGCAGGCAACAGCTAGGGGCCAAGGTGGGGGGAGGGGTTGCCACAATGGGGACTGGGGAGCAGCTGTTGGGGTGGGTGGGCGCCGGGGGGTGTGGCTTATGGAGGCAGAGGGGGCCAGCGGGGTCTGGGGGCCACTGAGCTCGGGGAAGGCGGGCTCATAGGAGTCAGCCTTGCACTTGGCCGTTTGAAGTTTTCTGGCAGCTGCACGTGTGCCTCTCATGAACCCCGCGTGGCACGGGTCGGGGAGAACAGGAGGTGGCACACACCTCTGTGATGTGGGCAGAGGTGTGGGCCGGGGCTAGAGGCCGCGGCAGGTCAGGAGTTTGAAGTAGGAGGCATGGGGGCTGCTTGCTCAGACAGGGGCGAAGTCCCCAAGCTGGGGGGGGGGGGGCACAGAGGCCTGTGTGAAGCTGACAGGTGCCTCTGATGAGGAGAGCGGCACCCATCCAGGAGTGCTCCTGAGTGCAGGCGGGCAGACCCAGCCCCTGTGAGGACAGCTCGCCTCGGAGAGGGAGGGGAAGGAGGAGATGCGGGCACAGGGGCAGGCAGGGGTGGTGTGGGCAGAGAGGTCAGGCTGGGGCCTTCCAGAGGCTTCCAGACCAGGGTGGGGTGGAGAGAGGCCCCCAGCAGGGCCCAGGGATGAAGTGGCAGTGCCCTGGAGTCTGTGTCCTGTGGGGTCACCGTGGGTAACAAGGCCAAGGTCATCTCCGGGCCTCCCTGGACACACTTGGCAAGTGGGGGAGGCCTGGGCTTCCCTGACCTCGCCCCGCCCCACTCACTTCCAGATCTCTTCACAAGTGCCCACAAGGACTGCCCCATGCCCCAGGGCACGGAAGCCCTTGACCCACACCTGTGCGCGAGCTGCCCGCCCACCACTGCTCCAGACCATGTCGCTGGCAAGGTAACAACCCCTCCCTCCTGCTCCCTCCTCCTGCCTGTGCCCAGATTCCAGGCTGTTCCCCACAGCTCCCGGCAGGGGGCGCCGTCCCTGCCAGCACAATTGGGCCCTTGAGGTTGGGGATTCACCTGCACGAGGGTCTGGAGTGGGCTGGCATCCAGGGACCGGGCTGGGCTTGTGTAGAAAGCACAGCCCCAGCCTGAGGCCACCGCCCGAATTAACCCGGCCTTGCAGATGGCACCTTCGCTCCAGCCCCTACTGCTTAGTGCAGTTGGCGCCTCACTTCTGCCCTGTGCGTACGTCATCACATCCAGACATCCAGGGGTGTGTGTGTGTGTGTGTGTGTGTATTAGGAGACCTTTTCCTACTTTGTGCCATGCACACTCCACCACCAGCTGTGAGGTTTGAGGCATTGTCTGCTCCCAGCCAGGAAGTGGCAAAGTCAGAACTCAAACCCAGGTACTGCCTGGTGGTACCACAGTGACCCCCCTTTCTCTGCATGGTGCCTCCCGTGTGTGGCAGGCCCGAGGTCAGGGAGCACCGAAGGCCAGCCCACGTCACCACCCAAGACTCGGGCCCTAGAGCCGTCTGCTGGTCAAGCCTGACTACTCTCTCCTCTTGTTGCAGGACAAACAGATGGACTTCTGTTGGGATCCTTGGCAGGTCAGTGCCTTGCTGTGCCCTGGACTAGCCACCTGCTGCGGACCCATCGCCCTGGGCACAGCCCTGCCAGCCCTAGGGGCAGCGGTGGACCTGGGAGGGGGTTGGTGGGATCTCACTGGCCTTACCCCCACTCCCCTACCCTGCCCAGGGGAGCTGGGTGGGCTGGGTGATGGCGGTGGTGATGGTGGAGGCTGTCCCGTGGCGTCTGCCCCTTCCTGCTCACTGCTGCACCCCCACCCTTACAGAGGTGCTTCCAGACCACCAATGGCCACCTGTGCCACTCCAGATCCTGCGCCAGCAACTACAACGTGGCTGCCTTGGCCACCTCGTCTCTCGTGGGTAGGTTCCTGCTGCCCCTCCCCTGGCCTTGGAGCTGGCCCCGCCCACCCTGGACACAGCCGTGGGGTGCCCAAAGCTGGATGACAACTAGGTGGCGATGGAGTCAACATTTTCTATTTTTTTTCCTTGGGAGGCAGAGAGACAGAAATCTTCCATCAGCTGCTTCACTCCCAAAATGACCACAACAGCTGTGTTGGCCCAGGCCAAAGCCAGGGGCCCAGAACTCAATGCAGGTTTCCCACGTGGTGACAGGAGCCCTAGTGCTTGAACCAATCCCGGCAGCCTCCCAGGGTGCACCGTGGCAGGAAGCTGCCATGGGCATCGAGCCGGACTGGAACCCAGGCCCTCGTCTGGGATATGGATGTCCCAAGGAACGTCTTTTTTTTTTTTTTTTTTAAGATTTATTTTATTTATTTGAAAGAGTTACAGAGAGAGAGAGAGAGAGAGAGAGAGAGGTCTTCCATCCTCTGGTATACTGGACGATGGCCAGAGCTGTGCCGACCTGAAGCCAGGAGCCAGGAGCTTCTTCCAGGTCTCCCACACGGGTGCCAGGGCCAAAGCACCTGGGCCATCTTCCACTGCTTCCCCAGGTTTATTAGCAGGGAGCTGGATCAGAAGTGGAGCAGCCGGGACTCCAACTGGCACCTCATATGGGATGCTGGCCCTGCAGGCCGGGGCTTTAACCCACTGCGCTACAGCGCCTGCCCCAAGCAACATCTTAACTGAGCCAAACAGCTGCCCCTGATGCAATCCAGCACTTTCTACCACAGGCTCCAAGTGGGACTTTGGGCGGCCCGAATCTCCCCGATGTTGCCAGGCCTGGTCTCCCTGCCCCTCTGCCACCCACGTCCCCTTGGGGCGGCCCGAATCTCCCCAATGTTGCCAGGCCTGGTCTCCCTGCCCCTCTGCCACCCACGTCCCCTTGGGGCGGCCCGAATCTCCCCGATGTTGCCAGGCCTGGTCTCCCTGCCCCTCTGCCACCCACGTCCCCTTGGGGCGGCCCGAATCTCCCCGATGTTGCCAGGCCTGGTCTCCCTGCCCCTCTGCCACCCACGTCCCCTTGGGGTGGCCCGAATCTCCCCAATGTTGCCAGGCCTGGTCTCCCTGCCCCTCTGCCACCCACGTCCCCTTGGGGCGGCCCGAATCTCCCCGATGTTGCCAGGCCTGGTCTCCCTGCCCCTCTGCCACCCACGTCCCCTTGGGGTGCAGTCTCCAGCAGACCTGAGAAAGATGTGGCTGTGCAGGACTTCGCTGAGGGGACAGCTCAGGAGAGAAGCGGCAGGGAGTGAGGGGCGGGGACAAGGGTGAGAGCTCGGTCAAGAAGGACTGGAGGGTGTG